ATTCGTACCGGTGTTGAGGATTGGAACTAATAATATTAATAAAAATAATTGTCACGTTACATCAACGGATACTTTTTAAATCAGATCAAAGATAAAGCTGTAATTTCTAAGCAATCGCCTATCTATTTATAGAGATTAGTGAAAAATACGTATTATCACATTTAAATTGTGAAATAGCATTATTAGTGGCAACTAAGAAATAAGTGATTTAAATGAAATATAAGTAAAGTATGAATGTTATACAATAAGTACAATGAATTTAGAAATTAGCATAATATTTTCGCCTTTTGAGCATAATAGTCGGACATAGTTTCGTTTTATCTATATCCATAAATTTATAAAATTTAACTAATCGTTATTAAATACTTAAATTCAAATCTACGTTATATTTTCCAAACAAATTTTTAACAACTTCAATATATTCTTGAGCGGTAATTTTGTTTGTTGAAAGTTACAATTAAAATTTTGTGGTTAAAGTATAAAATTGCCTTTCTATTAAGTGTTAACAATTTAATTTTCAATTTTCAAACAATACATGTTCAGTTTCAACTTTACAGTCGAACTACAGTTAAAACTGATGGTGTATAGGCAAAACTGAAAACTTTACAGTCAACTGACAACTCAAATTTTGGCTTACTTCAGTTTTCAGTGTACAATTCGACTGGTACAGCTGAAACTGTTCAGTTAAAACTGTATGTGTAACTTGTTTAGTATATTGTATTATAAATTTATAGAACTAACAATCAACATTGTATGGAACTAAATCGAGTCATTTTGGTGCAGTGAAATTCGACGACCGTGACGCTTGTATTCATAGATGTTGTTGTTTCTATTTTATGAAAGAGAATGAAAGAGATGCCAACAATTAACTTATATTTAACCAGTAATTTTATACTTTAACTCAACAAAGTCGCTTGTGTGCAATAATATTAATGTATTTGTTGTTTCAGGCTCAGTCCGGCAAAAATAATGTACTGTTTAGTTCCTTTTTTTGCATTTATCAGGCGCTTCTATTATCTTGTTCTAAAATTTTAGTCTCTAGTCACTCATTCGGCTTCCATTAAATTATTCTATCACAATTACGACATCACATCAAATTTTATTATTTTAATTGCGCACATTTTATTTGCACATTATATTTTTTGGCTTTTACTTTTTTTAGTTGTATAATTTTAATTTTTACATTCCAACATTAACTAGTGTAAGCAATAAAATGTTTTTTTACACAAAATTATTATTATTCTGACTTCTATCCCTTTACTGTTAATTTGAGCGAGGTAAGTATCAAATATCCATACTTAATTTTATATCGACGATTAAAATCGTGATTATAAAGAGGATATGCGTAAAAAAGGAATTTTAGATATGACGGTTTATAAAAATGTATGGAAGAGTAGCACATCCGTGCCGACCCTCCGTAGCAGGCAAGCAAAACTTTTATAATCTGTGCTACAAATTGAACGCAAACGGAGATCCTCCATCTTGAAAATTGTGTATCTATCTCACGCATAAGTTTCTCTATAATTTTTGGGCTATTTAAAAAAAACCATAGTGCATATGAATAAATTGTGATTTAAAAATTTATAATTTCTGTACATTTAAAGTTTGGATTATAAATAAACAACAATTTAATCTAGTTAATTTAAGTATGTAATTTAAAATTTACAATTTATTTGTATTCATCATGAAAACATTTTCTATTATAACATGTGATTTTATAAAAATTGTGAGTGTCAGCATACCTGTTACATAACTGAAAACATATGAAACAATTTTATTATCTCACTGACATAAATTAAGACCCCGAAAAAAAATCTTCATAGCAATATATTCATCTTCAGCAAACTTCATAGCAATAATACTAATGATGATCATTGGTTTAATTCGCTATTGTAAAGTTGTAGCAAATAAAATTAGTATTCAAATGTTAAGACGTTGTTTTTTGTTGTGTTTGGGTGGGACTTAAAAAGGGGAGTGTGACTCACTTTCCAATGACAAATTGACTGAAATTTATTATTAAAAAATACACATCTTTAGGTTTGTTTATAATAAAATTATGAATAACATCAACAATATGTGATCTTATAAAAATAAAGATAAAAAATAAAGTTACCAGCAGTTACATCCAACCTCTGAAGTTTCTGTTACTTATTAAATAACAAGAATAAACTTTACAATTTTTAATACTTTCTGTTTTTAGGTGTGAAAAAAGAAAAAGGAGTAGAAAACATAATCTATGGATTCACAGAAATAGAATTTGAATAAAGATAAAATTTTACATTCTATTCATATTTAAAAGAACTAAATGTTGAACTAGAACTTATGACCTTTTGCTGATTGCTGAAAAATAAATTTACAACAAAAATTGATGAAAATAACATAAAAGTACAAGACATATATATGCCAAATTCTACCAGGTAAGTGGTAAATATTAAGTAATTCCCAAAGCACATATTTCCAGTAATTACTTGAACAATTTTAACCTTTTAAATTGGCTTGATATTTAGTATAAAATGGTTTGCTCGAAACATGAAAAAGATTCAATAATAAAAATTAACTTAAACATTATTTAGGTTGTGTGTAGAATATCTCTCCATTATTGTTTCAAATATTGTAGATCAAACTGTAAATTGGTCATGTCATGACAAGTTTTTCAAACTAATTTGATTTATGATTCTATCATAGGCATTTTACAAAAATGGGCAGACAATGAAAGTTCCTATCTGTACCTGTAAAAACTAATCATAATTTTTTACATGGTTTGTGAGTTCCATCATTGTAGAGAATTGCAAAGAAGTTTTGTAAGTAAATGGGGTGAGATCCATATAATCAAAGAAAACCAGTTTTTTTTAATAAGGTATGTAATTAGGTGAAAAGCAATAATTAAATTGATTATGTTGTACACTTGAATCAATTAATTACCATTTCATACTGTTGCAGATGAATGAATGCACCTCTTCAAGTTCTACAGAATTATTAAATGAAGGAATCTGCTTCAAAATTACTGACTGCATGTCGCTGCAACATCTGTACTACAAAGTTTGATTGTTTGAAATATTGTAATTCTAAACTAAATATGAAAAATAACTCATTATATGGAGTAGTTTAACTGCAAATCTAAAAAAGAGTCACCATGTTGCAAGAAATGCTAGTAACTATATTAATGTCAATATTGAAATATAGATGTGTAACCTATAGATTTAGTGTCTTATATTAGTTTGATGTTAATATTTTGACAATTTTTAGAAATATGTATTAGACTTTAAAATAAAATTTACACTAACATAATAAGATTTTCTCGAAATTGGGAAATGCAGGGTATAGAAAATAAAAATATACTAAAATATAGGGAATTAAGTATCAAGTACAAAAGATAAAAAAAACCATTTAGTGATAAATATGAAACAAAATTAATTTATTAAATTTGGATTTTACAAATATCACAACTTATAATATATCTTAAACTTTTTTTGAACTAAGTAATAAAAAATAAACAGAGATTGTATACAATTTTCTTACAAGTAATTTAAATTTCAACACAGGTACTTTACCCCAAAATGATGCCTCCTAATAGAAATTCAAAGATATGTGTGAAGTCAACCAACCCTCACTGGCTCTGCGTTGTTGAATAAGACCCAGTCGCATTCTTGAGGGTAGGCTCCGAGCTCCTCAGTGGAATATAGTGTGTCCGTATAGTAAGCTTGATGATGACGACTTGTTTTGCTTAAATGCATATTGTCTAAATATTTTACCAACAGATAGGAGCTGATCTCTTTTCAGTGTTATTCTATTTCTCCCGACGAGAGTGGCGCTACTACGCCAGTTCTATCAGAAAATATGACCTATCAAATAAACAAACTGGAACAAATAAGCATTTATCAAAGTTGTGGTATTTTGTTGGTGAACTAAACATTAATGGTATTTTTACGAAAGCAATGAGCATTATGTTGCGTTCTTAAAATATATTCGCTTTAGTCAGAAGATTAAATTAAAGTTGCAATTAACGAAATTGTTTTATTTTTCCATAATTGTTTTCCCTCGAATAATACTTTCAAACGTCAAAAGGAAACTGACAGATTGACTTTTTTAGGTTGGTAGCAACGTAGACTTGATCATAATATTGCTAGCATTGAAAATGTCAATTTTTAATCTCCTTTTGTGTATCTAATTAGTCAAGAGTCCCGTCTCTTATTTTATATACTCTTTGCTCAATAGGAACAAAGGCAGGTTGATGATAAAAATAATTGTTCCCCTTATTAACCCAAAAAAAGTTGTGTGCTTTGATTTTTGATGATAATTTTATTCAATAGATGGCGTTAGAACCTTTAAAAATAGTTTATCATTTCACCGCTAGATGGCCTTTATTTATTCCTTCGAAACTCTAGTAAACGATGTAGAGTTTCCCACCAACGGAATGACTTTCGCCGGTTGTAAACACCTCGGCATCGCTTCTCGGCCTTTTGGCTAAGATCAAAGTGTAGTATCTGTTCTTTTCAGCTTAATATCTGAAAGTTCCCGCATCGCGGGACCAGTATATTAAACTGATTTTTGTAAAACGACGGGATGTTCGGGGCTCGCTCCACTCCCGTCACGGGTCGGCCCGGCATTGCAGTGCCGCCGGGATCGGCTCACATATACTATCAAAAATCTAAAGGCATAAAGGCTCTAGAAGCTCGTAACTCTTGAAAACTCTCGATAGAGATACAACTCCGTTCGTCATAGCTTTATGACTAGTCTCTACAAATACATATAACCATATCCCTGCATTTTGCTAAATTTTTTAAAAAAATTTTTTGCTAAAATTTTCGCTAAAATAGCGAAGTGTCCACTACCCGATATATTCAATAAGTTAAAAGGTTATTTTCGCGTCGCTTAACTTTAGTATCGTTAGGAAGAAAACCTGACACTGTGCCGGTGTACTGGCGCAACACTAGCCTCACTAAAATGTCGACATTTGTGTCCCCTCACTATTTATTCTGACACTGGACTTTGTAACGTAAGCACGTTTTTCGCGCCAAAGGATTCTAATTAATAATGTCTAAAAGTATAAAGCAAAGGATTAGAGATATTTCTCTCTTCTAAAACTCCCCTTTCCCGTCAAATCCACTTCCTCAGTTTATGTAATAAAGGATTAAATGCATAGTACATACAATAACATTCCCGGAGTCAAGTCCCATGGCGAGGAGGCTGCCGTCTGCGGTGAGGTCACAACACATGATACGATTATTCAACTTGTACACCTGAATGGGCTGCAGTTCTATCTTATCACCTGTCTTTAGTTCATAAGTCTGAAATTATAACAACAAAAAAAATCAAAATCTAGTCTCTAATCTTTGATTTAAATTCAGTCAAAATCAATTGTTATTACACATATGTTCTATTTTTTCGTAGTTCTGTTCTGTTTCTTGTCTATGGCTCTCCCTCATCGGATTGGGCCAATGTCAAGTGTTTATGGTTCTGTTTAAACTTGTTAGAGACTGGCAACAATACTCTGCTTGTAGAGAAGTCTTGTGAATAAACAAGTGATTTCGTAGTTTTAAACCATTAAACACAAAGTATTGTATTTTTTTAACATTTTGGTGTTTTGAAATATGACTCAAAGAACACAATTTTAATTTTAGTGTGGGGCTTAGAATTCTGTGGTGGGGGAACTACGCAGCGCGCAACTCAAGGTCGCCTGCCAAAAATATTGATAGTACAAATATAACAGTAAGAAATGATTTAAACTAACCTGAAACCTATGATAATCATCGCAAATAGGCAATACATTTTTCTGGAAAGCTGCACAATTGATATACACATCTGTCTGTCGGCCATTCAATATATTCTGGACTTGCAGATTGCGATCCCATAGTTTAACTATAGCGTTGGTTTCCAGTGTGATGAGACCGACGTCATGTACCCAGAAGCACGACACGAGACTGCTGGCCTTGCACAGTCGCCCTCTAGTGTCGCCATTAGGACATAGACGATCTCTAGAACTTATACTGGCATCGCTACTGGATGCTGATAATTTCTCGGGGCTGATTTTCTTCTTAAAACCTTAAAATACAACATATTAAAAGTAAATTAACATGAAATAAAGCGAAAAAAGTTTTTATATTTTTATGACGTCATCAGATATATATAAATTTTTCTGAAACCTATTAATTGTTAAGCATACGAATAAAATCATAGCAGAATACGAGACTGAATAATACGGAATTGAACATAAAAAGACCAATTTTAGTATTATTATGCTACTGCCAAATATTCTCAAACCAATATATATATATTCTTAGGGATCAGAAGCAGGGAAAATAAAAAAAAACATTTACTTATACACTACTACTAGTACTTTTATGATTTAATAAGAAAACTAACAAAAATGATTGAATTAAATTAACACTTAAATGATTTCGAAATATAACATTAACTTGATCAACTTTTAGAGTTAAAATGTTTAATTATTTTGGCTAGTCAAACGGGCAGAGCTTCCGCTGGCTTGAGTGTTCGGTGGCGAGTGTGTCCCAAAAATTAGGGTGCGGTCTTTTATATTGGCATCACCCCACCATTTCTTAAGTTCCACCCTCAGCTAACACGGCCTCTCCTGACCGGAGGACGTCCTCGGCCTCCTGAAATAACAGACGTCTCAAATTTACACCGGAAGTGCTGGGCACAGGCTCTGGCAACAAGAACACATCATCTCTGTGGTGGTAGTGTAGTAAATGCGCGGATCAGCGGATCTGTGATGCCCCCTATAACTATTGCCGATATCAGCTCATCGCTTAACCCCCTAATGATTCGTAATCGTAAAAGGGACCTACGAGCATAATCAGTGTATGTAAGGAAGCTATCCGAATTGGTGCTCATAACCTCGTACAGAATGTTGGCTATGTCTGTTTTTTTTGGACATAAAGGCTTAAATTCGTTTTTAAAATTACTCCAACTGCGTTCATTCGTTACCCATTCACTGAGCCACGTTTTAGCATCTCCTTGTAAACAATTGCCAATGCGAGAAAGACATTCGTGATCACTCGAATTATTAGAAGACCTAGCACGGTCTACTTTTTCACACTATGTCTCTATGTCATTAACACTCGGATCAAAATTAGAAATATAAGAAGACTGGTTAGATCTCACCGGTATATTTATGGATCGTATCGCATCGGTGATGCGATCGGCGGCGCTGGCCTGGACTGACGTAGCGCTCGTGGGACGCTCCGGTGAGGACGGAGTCGTTGAAGCCTGAAGCGCGCCCTTGAAGCGAGTTCGCAGTCATAGCTTCGCCCAACTGCGAAGGCGGCGGCATCGACACGGCAGGCTCAACGGCAGGAACGGGCTCGGCGCTGATGGTCGCCACAGGCACCGCGGACTTGGCTACTTCCACTGCAGCGCGGCCACTAGACTCCTTTCGTTGAGTTGAAGACACTACCTGTTGTTCCTCTAATGACACCAATCTATTCGAAATTCGTTGCATTGTTTCGGTTAAAATATTGCTAGAAGGGCTACGTCGTCTGTAGCGGGAATAATGTTGGCTAGAATGCGATCTGAGATTTCGCGACCGACTCCTACTCAGCCGCCTCTTATTAGGCATGTTTTCTTTTTTTTTTTTAGCAAGTATTTAACATTAGACGTAATTCCAAGCAGGTTAATTCTACGTCTGAAATAGATTCTAAAGTTTTTAAATTATCGATAAAGTTCTTAAATTTAGTTAAACGTCCTTTTATATTGCTACTTTTAATATTGAGAACCTTAAGTTCTCTAGATTCGAATTCTGTAGACATTGGGATGAAATAAATAAAAAACTAATGAATGTATTAAAAGTTGAATGTAGGTTAAAATTGCATACGATACGCTCCTCGCTTCGTAGTCAGCCGCAGCCTCGCGCGACTATCCGCAGACGCACGATTTGTCACTGGAGTGAAGAGCACAGGTAGCTGCATCCACGTAGACAAAGGGTGACGTCACGCGAGTCGACTGTTGCTTGTCCGATGCGCCGATAATGGCTGGAATTGATTTTATAAAACGATTGAAACAATTTTAGAATTAACTTAGAAATATGATGCTCCTTAGCGGATGATGCTCCTTAGCGGTAAAAGCGCGTTTGTCTATTTGATCAAAGATGGGTTTCTATAAATATATACAAAAATGGGCAAAACTAATTTGTTTTCAAGCTAAATTAAATGAAATAAGCTAATAAGCAGCGAAAAGCAATATAAATAAAGGCAAATACGATGCCACGCCATGCAAGCGTGATTTTAGCGGTTATAGAACGAATGAATGAATCGCAAAAAATGTGCACGTGGGATGACTTTCAACTTTGATGATAGATGAATATAGAAATTAGGTAATTTAAATTTGTTCAATAATTAGGCACTCACTATAGCTAGATATAAGCGTAATTAGCGAAATTTTT